GCATCAAGGATGTTGAAATAAACATAGGCGCCGTTCATGCTGCAGTCTGTGTAAGTTGACTCGAAGTCACAAAACAACAATTTCAGATGTCAGTCAAGTTAGCCAGTCAATAGGAAGCAGGGTAATAAACATATAAACAATGCTTGGGTTATATCTTTCGATCAATGGCTGTTCAAAGTTACCGGGTACATTCAGCTTCCACAGCCCACCTCCTGATGCTTTGTAGCTTCAAAGGAACTGTCAGATCGATAAGTCAATCACAAGTGGTATCGATTATCGTGATAATAATCTATTGTATCCCGCTTACCCACAGATTATAACAGGATTGACCAGCGTAGCGTTAAGTACAAGTCCATCCGAAGCGGACATGCATTAAGCGATAAGCCTCTAGGTGTGGTCACCCTGACTCCCCATTAAGGAGATGGTTCCAGATGATGGCGGTTATTACTGATACTGACTGGGTATAATTCACTCATTTACATCGCTCTGTCATCAGATTATATCCCAGATTATGGCGTGGATGAGTCTCTGTCAGAACTGGGATAAAAACGGATAAATACTCAATCTGATGACGCTGTATTCCATTCAGATAACATCTGTAACGGGTAACGGTAATGGCTGAATGGACACTTAGGCGAGATGCTTTAACGATATCTTCGTAATAATCTATTGATAAAGCAACACCTGTCCCTAATACAATTATTTGATGCTTGTTTACCATAACGTTTAGTCCACTAAACGTACACTTACAAACCAACCCAACCTCTACCCGTAATTTTATTCACAGAAAGTTTAAATTCTTGAAAATCAGTACCCAAAACCCTTCCCTAATATAATCCATAAAAAGCCAACTAATAAGTCACACGTCCTAAAATGCACATTAATTAACAAAATCAATCAAATCAAGACATTTCAGCAACAAAACCACTTTAGATATTCCAAATCAATAAGAAGAAACTTTTTACAAGCCCATCAAAACAGCAAATCGAACCCTTGTTGAAGGGTTGAACGAGGTTCAAACGAACAACTGACAACCGTGAACACTTTACACACACGGGATATATATGTCTTGCATTCCTCTCGTCACGATATGGCTGCAATATTGCCGATGTGACGTTAAATAATAACTCACTCACTCACTTGCATTCTTCTTAGGATTCATTCAATTATGCTATATAATGAAGTACTAGGACAAGCATCCACAAACTTGTCTCTATTGTTTTAGGTTAATAGGAATGCGGAAACTAAGGTAACCCACCTAAGACAGATATACAACACGTTCTGCTGCAAGTGAGTGAGTTTAGGTTACCCCGCTTTTAGCAATGTTGAAATTGGTTCACTCATTGTACCCATATGAGGAAATGAACCCGGTCCTCGTCGTGACGAGCGAACACTTGAACCACTAGGTTACCCAAACGCCCTCATAAGCAAGGAGGCTATCAGAACATCTGAACTATAAGCTTTTCCATAAACCATTGCTTTAAACAAAAGCGATGTTTTACATATTTCACAGATTATACTCAAAATTCGGCTATACTATTTAGATCTTCTATTCAAGCATACAATTGTTATAAATGTTGATAAAGATTTTATTTTTTAAAAAAGAGAAAAGAAATGCTGTTGGGAAGACAACATATTTTGCCAACAATAGTACGATTTAGACATGTACACATTTCTATCTTCATGTTATAACGATTTGTTAGCTGAGTAAGGATCGGTGGGCATTACGCGTTGAAGGGCGCTTGACATGATGTTTTACCTACAGCCACACAGGCATGGGGGAAGGAAGGTTGAGTTGATGGAGGGATGAAGATAAACACGATATAAACACGGGTATCGAGTAACCCGTGGTACATACAATATCACACAAAGTCAATAAAGTTCCACTGAATGTTGAGGCGAATGTCCATAGCTGAACGAGCAGAGTATTGACCTGGGTGAGCGTCTATACGTTGTTGTTATTCCACCTTATATACGTATATAGACAGATAGATTCAACACAGAGGCAAATGTTGTAGAATAAACACATTGCACACCACAGACAACTTTTGTCAATATAACGTTTTAAACGCTGACAACAAGTCAAATGTGAATTTTCTGAGTATCAACTAAAAGATTGTAAAATAACCGAACTATCAAAACTCTCCATCGATATACAAATAACTAAAATCAGGTATCAATATTGAAAAGGACTCTTACCTAAAATGCAAATATGTGTTGTGTTGTATTTTTTATTCAAGCAGCGTTATCTTCCTTCACGCTTGTCGAGGCTATTTTCACAGAAAGTACGCTAAACCCACGAATCCCTTGGCACCATGAGTTCGCTGGATTCGGACGATTCAAGGTCACGTCAGCTATTCCGGCTCTGAGGTCACGTCGTTCCAAACTGACGTTAACTTCGTCTGGCATCGGCACACAAGAGGAAATCTCCCGGAATCTCGTTGATATCGCCGTTGTCATGATAACGTGAGATCTTCTCTAATCCAGATCCTACGGTTGGAAATCCACCAGCCGTCTTAAGCAGGGCACACAGACGTATCTGGCCAAGTTATCGCTTACTTGCTTACGCTTATTTTTGACACATTTCTTTTTAGCGGACTAAAACCTAGAATATATGAACAACTGAACCCTGTATACATATCAACAGCTTGGGTGTCTAACAGAGTGCTGTCCGGGCTTCACACTTTGGGGTTTCTTGACTTTCTGTAACACCTTTGGGTACTGGCTTCGTCCTTGTGCTAGTATTTTGTAGAGGGCGTTGTGAGGTTCAAGGTCTTTGAGGTAGAAATAGAGGATATTACTTGTGACGTGATATTGTGAATAAAGTACAATTACCCTCTCAAACCTTTATGGCGATGGGGTGCCGTGTTTGTTATTGTTATACTCTGTGCTAGCTGTTGTTACATTTCTGTCATCGATGCTGTTACAACATTTCTGTGACGGTTTGTACAGAAACATATAGCTACAGTCTGTTCACAATACTGGCTTTTAATTCGTTTGAACTTCAGCATAGGAAAAATTCAGCGATTATATTTGTCTAAATTATTTTACCCAAATGTTGAAGTTAAACAACTAATTTCACAAACTGGACCACAGGTAATGGTTTGTCAAGCTTGTATTGGTTTTCTGAGAGTGTGTTGGGTACCAAAATATTGGGGGAGGATGTACTGAGGGCGCACTGCACATGCTGCTTCCATGTGTAATGGTAGGGAGTATTTATAAATTATAATATACTACCCATCAAAAGTTTAGACTCACCAGTGTAAATGTAGCCACTTACTTCAGGCAACTGTTCTAAACTAGATTTTGCTACATATTCCATTATGTGTAAAGGTACTCTTTACACATGAACCGATGTATTGTAAAACAAATTCGTAACGTTGAAAAAAATATTTTCATGAGTTCAATAAATCATGAAACTCAGTGAAAATTCGCGAATTCTTAACAAAACTTTACACCAAAACGCAGCTGTTCACATGCACGATATTTGCACATGCTTTTCAGAAAATTGATGCATGATCCTCGTGCAATGCATCTGCATAAGGTTTGCAGATGGTTCCCCTAAGTTAGTGGAGAAATCCATCTTCGATGTAACAGTATAGCATATAGTGAGTGCTTTAAGTGAGTCTAAACGTTTGATGGGTAGTATATATAGATTATATAGTATACTGTGTAGGGGATGTACTTTGAAACGTTTATCTTCTAAGAGACGTATCAGGTACGTTTTTCTCAGACACGAGAGAGACCTGGAGTTTTTCTCGAATTCCTGGGTCAGATTATGAAACAAGAACAACAAAACAGCAATAAGAACTACAACGTTTCATCTGTAGTGTTAAACCCCAGACCGAACAATCCGAAGCTATTATTACGTTAGTGGAAAGATCTGTGTGAACTCGATTTTCATTTTCAACTCCCTGGGAAGTATACAATCCTAGCCTTTGAGGCGCTATAACGTTAACAGCCCCATTACTACTCGATCTTACCGGTTTACTTCGAAAAAACAATCCGCGTCTTCCAGGAGACGCCATTTGTGCTTTATGCTTGGACCGAACTAAAAACAACTTGGCTGTCAGGATCCGAACAGGGTCACCAATCCAACCTCTCTCCGCCACCAACGTTGACAAGTCAAACCATTGATTACACAACAGTCTCGTTTCCTGCTGACCGGGTTCCGTCCTATTGCGCACCTTATTACAATAACCAGTCCAGAATTTTGAGACAAACTCATTCAACTGGATATATAAATATTAATCAGTATTATTTGATACATTTAATCACTTGTATATTGCAACCCTACGCTCCTTCTAATCCTTGCAAACACGTCTTGCAGCGAGCCCTGTCGTACAGCGCGCTCACAAATGGAAATCTCAAAACGAGGCTCTGGCGCTAGAGAAGTTTGGCGGTCTGGTACGGACTTGATATTATATCAATCATATTGTACGTTACAAAAATACATTTAATAAGCGCAAAAACACATAAAAGGTGTAACCAGTGAGCCAGATGAATTGTGAATCATTGTACGACCTCTTTAAACAGGGGCAGTCTGTGACGTCTTAGTTAACAACATGCTGCCTAAACCTCGACAGAAAATATAGAAATACGATTATTTTAAACTTTGAAATTAAAATTAATTTGTAAATACTATTTTCTGATGAAACAAGGAATTGGAATTTAGTATAACCATAGTTGTTTGTAGTGTCTCTTTTCACTTTCACACGAGAGAATTTGCATCTGCTGAAAAGTAGGTCATTGTCTGAATTGGTTAATGAGACTCATGTTTCGGTTTGAAACGTCACCTCATAAGTGTTTTAATTTGTAAACAGGAATACGTACACAAATTAGACGCCCGGGTTGCATCTCTTTAGAAGCCCACGAACAGATCACTATATGGTTTCTAGATGCGACAATTCATCAACTGAATTACAAGACCATGCATAAAATTTTCCCAAAACATTATGTCTTGTTAAATCTGTACGATAATATGCAACTGTAATTCACAGATTCTGGTTGATACTCGCCGGTTTAGCAGCATTCGGCGTCATCATTCTCGTCATCACCTACGTCATCTGTCGCCACCGGAAACCTCTCCATGGTAAGTGGTCTCTCACACTTACTGTGTACTCTCTGTGCTGTGTCGAGGCGGTGGGGTAGCCTTGTGGTGGAAGCGTTCTCTCGTCTCGCCGATTCACCATGTAAATCCCCGATGTGATATTGCTGGAATATTGCTAAAAGCGGCGTAGACATACTCACTCACTCACCGTCTGTGTTGTGTCAATCAAGGCCTCGAGGTCATTGCGTGCAAAACGTCCTCACACCCAGGGGCCCCGGGGGGCTTCAATGGCTATTGTTGGTGGGCAGTGTTTGAATTTGTTACCATGGGCTAAATCATTTAGCAGCTGTAACCGTTGAAATAATGTGTCGTTAATATTACAAATTATTCCTTACAGTAAAAACATTGTGAAATATATACTCATGCCAATAATGGTTGTCACCCCCTTCAATTTTTTTAATTGGAGAGGGGGTGTGGGATGGGGTGTGAGGTATGTAGGGGGTTGGGGTGGGGAGGGGATGACAACCATTATTGGCATGAGTATATATTACTAAGCCAATAAGAAATAGTAGTCTACTTCTACTGGTCTTATTGTCATGCAGAGCATATTTCAATGTCTCATTACATCATGTATGTTTATGCCCAAAATGACATATCTAGTGTCTCATTGAGTGAGTTTTGTTTCCCAACGCTTTTAGCAATATTCTAGCAATATCGCGGTGGGGAAAACCAGAAATGAATGGCCTTCACACATGATACACATGTGGGGAATCGAACCCGGGTCTTTGGCGTGACGAGCGAACGCTTTAACCACTAGACTATCCCCCCGCCTAGGACATTGATTTAGGGAGTGAGAGTTAAACAAAGACGGATCGAGATAATAAGGACATTGGGAGAAAGATTTGTGTGAGTTTAGTTTCCCGACGCTTTTAACAATATTCCAGCAATATCACGGTGGGGAATACCAGAAATGGGTTACACACATTGCACCCATGTGGGGAATCGAAGCCGTGTGTTTGGCGTGGCGAGCGAACGCTTTATCCACTTGGCTACCCCACCGCCCCTCTAGTGTCTTTGAGTAAATGTGGAATTTCTTAATTTCCCTGTTTTATATTATAAAAATGTATAGCATTACCGGTTGCGATAAACATTGTATCACGATCAGATAAATATGCAAAGGAGCTCCATACATACCCCCGATGCCATTTAGCTCAAAACACCATTGCCTAACTTTCAAACAAAGTTCAAATGAATGTTTGCCGATGTTTGAGTGCATGCGTAAATCATTTGTTCACACGGGCAATGTATTCCTACACGGAAATTAAAGATGTTTTAATTATGAATTAATTACTAAAGTCATATTTATGATTAGAAAAACACTCGGCTCATTAATATCTATGACGTCAAGTTTACATTAAACACCAGATGTATCTTGCATCATGCAGTTCAAAACATGACTTGCTCAGACAAAAAGCGACAAGGACGAATTCACGTGTCCATGTTGAATATGTAGATCTGTTTTGACACATCGTCAACTGTGTTTCTTGGCGAATAACGCTGTCCTCGACACCACGGCGACATGTCTCGCCGTTGTCGCAGCAGATGAAGTGGCTTCCATCGATCACCTTGACGATTTTTTGTCCCGGTTATATTCTTTTACTACCAGGCTCAGAATATTTTCATGGCAAACACGTCTAACCAAGAACCAATTTTGATAGACACGTAAGTTGAGCCTATAATCGGTTATGGCGTGAATCTGCCTTGGTCATGTAGAACTGAGCCAAAAGGGCCCACTGAAAAATTGCCAGGGAGAAGAGGTTGTGTTGCCTTCCAGTATTGGTAGAAACGTGTCCTAGCCCGAGAAAGTCAATTTGAATACTCCACTTTGTGTATTTTTGAAGGACATTGGGTAATACTGAGATTTATTTGCTTACTCATTCACGCTTCTGCATCAAAACCCAAAATCCATTCGCTGAACCACACATACATAAATGTACCCACTTAACCGCCCCGAATATTCGTTCAGTTGCGTACTTACTTGCTTGCCGTAAGAGGCGACTACCGGGATCGGGTGGTCAGGCTCGCTGGCTTGGTTGACACATGTCATCGGTTCCCAATTGCGCAGATCGATGCTCATGCTGTTGATCACTGGATTGTCTGGTCAAGACACGATTATTTACAGACCGCCGCCATATAGCTTGAATATTGCTGAGTGTGGCGTAAAACTAAACTCACTCACTCACTCACTTACTCACTAAACCCACCTTCTCGCCCAATGACTCTCAATCACTCATCGGCTTCAAAACGGAAAACTGCACCATTGGTCCTACCCACAACAAAAAGACACTCACTCATTAGCAAACCACCCACTCACTCACTCACTCCCCCACTCCCTACAGAAGTGCATAAATGGTACACGATAAATTGTTTTTCTCTTACCACACACAGAAGAACATCAATGGTACATATTACATGATACTTTCATTATTACACACAGAAGTGCATACATGGTACATGTTATTACAATGTCATGATTCTTTCATCACTGCCCAGAAAAGCGCGAACATGGTACTCGATAAATGGTTCTTTATCAGTACATCCGAAGCGCACAAATGGCACATTAAAATGTTCTTCCATTACTGCATTCTACAAGATTTATTTGACACGAACGAGTCCGAATATAGTAATTCCGTCTGGCTGAATCCACAGTGTTAATCCCCGAGTTGGTGTAAGTGGGTGTTGGTATCACGACACTGTTTGCCTTGGTTCGGTCAGTGTTATCAAGCATCTGGCCAATGCCGGGCGAAGATTCACACAACTCTCTAGAATGTCCTCCAGTGACGATACTGTCTTTTTTATACAAAGAGTGAAATGGTTTGAGGTTGTCATGGTTATGTGTAAATATCCGCATTCAGAAAGGGATGCTAATACAATATTATTGTGGTAGGTGAGATTTGTAGAAGGACAAATGAGAGCTGGTATCACATCCAGAAGAAGACGCTTCAAAGTAGTCTGAAGGATATATTTTGAACATCTTGAAGCTTGTATAGGTGACGTCTGCCAATAATTATGTACATAATTGTATTGTTTGAGACCTCATGGTTGAATGATATTATAGGTACGCATTATAAAGTCGATGATTACCATAATCACAACTTCACCATAGGCGGATCCAGAGGTGGGGTAAAAGGGTCCCCCCCTTTTTAATTATTTGCCCCGAAAGTTTATTAAACGACCATTGACACTCTCGTGAAATCGGTTGAAAATGAACTGTGAATCCCCCACACCATTTTGCTCGCTCGGTCAACCATCATACATTAGATGTTCATTCAACCAATCTAACCAATCACTTACCCATTTATTTCCCCACTCACTCACTCACTCACTCACTGTTCCGGTCATTCCCTCGCAGTCATTCACTGTTGCTCACAGTTATTTGCCTAGTCCACTCTTCTCTCACTGACCCGGTCATTCCCTCAATCATACAATCATTCCCTCACTCACCCACTCATTCATCACTCACTTACCTACTCATCCAGTCAACCCCTCACCCATCCGCCGATTCGCCCCATCGTTCTAAATATACTACCCATCAAAAGTTTAGACTCACTTAAAGCACTCACTATATGTTATGGGAACTTAGGGGAACCATCTGCAAAGCTTATGCAGATGAATTGCACAAGGATCATGCATCAATTTTCTGAAAAGCATTGTGCAAATATCTTGCATGTGAAGAGCTGCGTTTTAACGTTTTGTTAAGAATTCACCAATTTTCACTGTTTCATAATTTATTGAACTCATGAAAATCATGTTTTCAACGCTACGAATGTGTTTTACAATGCATTAGTTCATGTGTAAACAGTACCTTTAAACATTATGGAATATGTAGCAAAATCTAGTTTAGAACAGTTGACTAAAGTAAGTGGCTAGTTTGACACCAGTGAGTCTAAACTTTTGATGGGTAGTATACAATAAGACCTCAAGCATAAACATGTTAATGGCGATATTCAGCAGAGCAATTCTTGTTTTATTCTCCAGGTTTGGTGCACAGGAAAAGCGTGTTCGGCGAGACTATCAGCCAGACCGTGCAGAGTCGCGCGGGTACCAGACATTCCATCCCCAGGCCAAGTCTCCCAGAATTTAACGTTCAGTCGGAGCATTTCCGGTCAGACCTTCGTCGACCAATCACAGTTAGGAGCAGCAAACCCAGTGCTATGATCAATACAGAGAACACACAAGCTGAACCCAGGTGGACTATTTTAAATGGGTTTACACCTCGTTCCCATGGTAACAAGAGAACCGATTCCAGAGAGAATATATTGAAAAGCAAGGAATCATTGCCAGATGTACAAGGCTGACGACATGTTTGTACAGAAATAGAATAGTGGTTGGATTCAACCAAGATGTATGTTTTTATCAGGAGTGCAGTGAACTTGCGTAGTGATTACCATACGTTCTCCAGATAATGCTTCAGTAGATCTTTGTTCCGGGGTTTATTTGAACGTTTGCAACAAGACATGTATTTTTGGATTTGTCAAATTTCACTCAGTCTTGAAATATTATTAAATTGAAACTAAACATCGATAGTGTACACCTACATAAATGATCGTGCGCGACCCTGGGTGGTCAGAATGAGCTACCCTTTGACTGACGTGTTTGAGATTTTTGTCTAAATTTCGAGTGCTAACTTTTCTCCTCGTTTATGTTGACCCCCGTCACACAGTTGGAACAGTGCTGTGTGCGGCCTAAAACATTACTCACCTACTTTCTCACAGGGCAACTGCTTCGCTTATTTTTATTCACTATTCATTCATCTAAACATACAGGCCCACAGCAGATGTCTATTGCCAACTGTTTTCTACGCGTTAAATTATCTCGTTCTGTTAAAAAGATTACTTGTTCAAATAATGAAAATTTTTAATGATCGCCTATTTTAAGTTTTCGGTACTCTGTTGAATCCGCAATAGAGTGTTTTATTCGAACCGGAAAACAAACTGTATATATGTATATAGGTGTCTTCTTACAATTGACGTCCGCGATCAAACATACCCTTGCATAGCTTTCAACGAAATTTTGTATTTGAATATGTAAATATATTTTGCATATGTACAATTTAGCTCGGGTTAATGTTGCCCCAGTGTCTGATAAACAAATAAACACCTGTTTGATAAATGTGACAGTATTTTTTTGACCGTCACACGAATGACGAAAATACCAGCACCTGTACCAAACCGCATAGAAAGAAAGGTTGAAATCATGATTGTACTCTGGTCATGCTGGTTGTGCGTGGTGTGAAATCAAAATATCACAGAAACGAAGTTCAAAAGTAGAACAAAAAAACCTCCCAAAGATAATCATGGATCCGTAAGACAACACTGCTTTCATATCAGACATGGCTATATCAGGAATCGACTATAATTACCACTAAAGTATATCGGAATCTTTACCACGATGTCTTTTAATCACCATGTGTATAATGGATGGCAAATTGTTTATTATGCATACAATACAATAGACTAAAAAAACGCTTAGTACCTGAATATATATAATTTTGTTCTTAACAAATAAAACCATTTAAATTGAGGAGCCCCATTGAGATGTGAGATTCAGAACCTAAGGAAATCTAAACTTGCTTTATTAAGAGGAGGGCTCATTGCAGTGGAGGGCTTGGCTGTAGGGACAATAATGTGGTTCAGGGACTGTGAGGCAGACTACATTGCAGGGAGGGCTAGGCTGTAGGGACAATAATGTGGTTCAGGGACTGTGAGACAGACTACATTGCAGGGAGGGCTAGGCTGTAGGGACAATAATGTGGTTCAGGGACTGTGAGACAGACTACATTGCAGGGAGGGCTAGGCTGTAGGGACAATAATGTGGTTCAGGGACTGTGAGACAGACTACATTGCAGGGAGGGCTAGGCTGTAGGGACAATAATGTGGTTCAGGGACTGTGAGACAGACTACATTGCAGGGAGGGCTAGGCTGTAGGGACAATAATGTGGTTCAGGGACTGTGAGACAGACTACATTGCAGGGAGGGCTAGGCTGTAGGGACAACAATGTGGTTCAGGGACTGTGAGACAGACTACATTGCAGGGAGGGCTAGGCTGTAGGGACAATAATGTGGTTCAGGGACTGTGAGACAGACTACATTGCAGGGAGGGCTAGGCTGTAGGGACAATAATGTGGTTCAGGGACTGTGAGACAGACTACATTGCAGGGAGGGCTAGGCTGTAGGGACAATAATGTGGTTCAGGGTGACTGTGAGGGACAGACTACATTGCAGGGGAGGGACTACATAGGGAGGGCTAGGCTGTAGGGACAATAATGTGGTTCAGGGACTGTGAGACAGACTACATTGCAGGGAGGGGGCTAGGCAATGTAGGGACAATAATGCAGGGAGGGCTGGTTCAGGGACTGTGAGACAGACTACATTGCAGGGAGGGCTAGGCTGTAGGGACAATAATGTGGTTCAGGGACTGTGAGACAGACTACATTGCAGGAGAGGGCTAGGCTGTAGGGACAATAGGGACTGTGAGACAGTTCAGGAACTGTCATTTAGTTCAGACAGCATCAGATTTCAGGCCTAGGCTGTAGGGACAATAATGTGCAGGGACTGTGAGACAGACTAATTGCAGGCGCCGACAGGTGTTATAAATAATGTTGTTGGCAGGTAGTTATATAATGTTGTTAACCAAGGTGTTCAACTAAGTTGATGCATTTCGCAGACTACATTGACTGTGAGGACAGACTACATTGGTGGAAGGGTCATGAAGACACCGTTTATTACACAAAGATCTTGATAAAAGATGTGATAGTCTTGACTCAGCAGGAGGGACATAGAACGGACATAACTTGCAATAGCCTTTTGGCATATATTGCTCTGATAAATAACAGACAAATTCAAGTAAAAATAATCATGAATTTTCAGTACTAGTGTTTGCTAATAAAAAAATCAATTCTTGAAGTAATATGGTCTGATTTACCAGATACGTTAGTAAATCATAACAGTCCTGGGAAGATAAGATTCTCATAGCGTTTTCTACTGTATTTATATACTTATCAAGTACATACTGATACCTTATACCGGAGACAAATCGGCCGACTTGTTGAAGGGTAATTTGTGATCGTCCAAACAGCGGGAATATTGGCGGATGAGAGACACCCACCGAGTGTAGATTGTTTGACAAGTACTAGTGTTTCCTGCAAGTTGACGGATTACAAGACCTACCTGAACACCGCTTCTTTAGTATTTTGTAATAGCGACGTTCCATTATAGATCCTTGTACTGTTGTCAAGCAGTGGTATGGGGATCTATATGGACTCTTCGCCATTACAGTATAATGGGGATATTGTAATTCATAAACGTTTTTTCTACTTTGGCACCCATTGAATCATTCAAACAACGCTTCTCTATGTACATAGAAGACATGCAGATCAAAGTGAAAGATTATGAATTATTTGATACTTGTAATAACCCGTGTAATCATAATGAGATCAATAAAAAGTATAACCGCCGATGCTTCTGTTGATATTCGTCAGAAGTGTGGGGACGGTTGAGGTATGATGTGTCTGAGATGGATCGAACATTTTGGTTTGAGAAGATTCCACCCGCCCTCATTATGTGGGTGACCATCCCAGATTCGTAACTCAATCGAATTTCATTCTCAGCTCATTGGTGTACAATCCAATCTGCCTGTGGGGCGCTAGAAGGTTAACAGTCACATTAGTATCTTACCATTAAATCCTACCGGGTACCCCATTACTGCTGGGTAAACAGAAGTACACTTCAAAGTCACACACACACACACACACACACATACATGGAGACACCCTGTGTAGCCACAAGGGGCAGCCCTGGAGAATCTTCAACGTCAGTCACATTACTACCTTTCAGTCAAATCCTGCTTGGTACCCCCTCACTGCTGAGTAAACAGAAGTACACTTCAAAGTCACACACACACAAATGGAGACACCCTGTGTAGCAGGATGGGGCAGCCCTAGAGAATCTTCGACGTTACAGTCACATTACTATGTTTCAGTCAAATCCTACCTGGAACCCCTTTATTGCTGAGTAAACAGGGTGGGACAGCCCTAGAGAATCTTCAACGTTCCTCAGCCTTATCTGATTTGTGTCCTGTTCGCTGTACACAGCACCATGTCCCCAGACTGACCTATATCAACATGATGCGTAGATCGATGCTCAAGCTGTTGATCACTGGATTGTCTGGTCCAGACTCAATTTTTTACAGACCGCCGCCATATAGCTGGAATATTGCTGAGTACGGCGTTAAACAACCAACCAGCCAACACCTCACCCCCATGTATATACATGGATGTCAACTCATTCAATGGAACCGACTTTGTGTAGACATACACGGTTTCCAGGTGTGCAAGTGCCCCAGACGCAATTCCTATTTTGATTTTACCATACATTCCCGATGTTTTTCAGGTGAACAATTGACTAGCCATTGCATTTGTTTATGACGGGTGCCACTGGTGGGGCAGGATACGCTCGCCTTTTCACGAAAACCTGGTATGGTCACTATTTGATAGTGAGTCATAAACACTAGGGGTGGGTATTGCAAAGGATTTTCATATTGCGATATATTCTTGATTTATAAAGCAAAAACACAACAAAATCTCTATGCTTGATTAAGCTTTAACAACAACCATGTTGTTTAATCATGACAAAATAAAAATGTAAATAATATTTGGCACAAATGAAACAAGGAAGTATCCGAACATTTCCGAGTGTTACGAAGTTTTCCGAATGCATGTCGAAATACCGGTTTATGATCAGCGTATCGCAATACGTATTGTTTTCATGTCTGAACCGGTAAATACCGGTAAACCGGTTATATTGCGCAGCCCTAATAAACACATGCTCTGTCATCGTATCTCGTGGTGTGAATCATTAGATTGTCTGGTCCAGACTCGAGTGTTTACACACCGCGTCCTACAGCTGTGATACTGCTGAATGCGGCGTCACCAAACACAGACTCATGATATAGTCAGCTCCGACTCTGCTTTAGGAGATAGCCTACGGATATGGAAAAGGTTTTATCGTTTCTGTTTACCGAAAACATATCCCCTAGGGCGTGAGGAACATGGTGCAGGTGCAGCATTTGGATGAAGAAGCATCTTTCTGAAACCGTTTCCCAGTTTATACATATGGCCCTCGCTAAAGGAATGCCATCTAAAGCAGATCAATATGACAACCTTGAAAGACGTCATACCTTCTGTCAAATGTTTAATTGCCAATTTCTCAAAACTGTTCAGTTCGATGTCTCTCATGTTGAAACAAGGTGCAGTGACGTTCAACTAACCATCAACAGTGAGATATATCCATTCAAGGGCAAACAACTCTTGTCAAAACCGGGTTCGATTTGTTATGGGGACCGTCCCAAAAGTCCACTGATTCATTTCTTGTCAAGCAATAATAAGACAGTGTTGTGTAATTCAATGTTGATTATCAAACAACACATCAAAGGATTTGTGCTGAGGAGAGCCATGTGGATCAGTACGTACATTAAATCGCTAAATATTTCAATACATCACCGACACGTCTTATACAGTCCCTCCTGGCTATATTAGCAGTTTAATGTCCAAACACTGCATTTATCTAATCGATGCGTTTCTGTTTACAGCTGTATCCTTTTTATGACTCAAGAATGTTACTCACTGAATGCGGGGGGTTTATGCAAATACCACCTTCACACACATTCGCTAAAATGTTTCGATCTTTGTTGAGAAATGTAAATAATATTGAATACTTGCTTAGAACGTCATCACCTGTATCTACAAACACTTAGCTCTGCCTATGCGGCAGGCTGGGCACAATCCATCATTGTAACAGTTTTCAAAACAGGCCCTTTCTTCCAGGCTAAAAAGATTACAATACTTTTCAGGTCAACGAACTGTCTATTTTTCTGATATTTTCAAAAATGTTTAAAGTACATGTACTTCTTTCAAATAATATTTAGAGAAGATGGAGGACAGTATGCTATGTTCTGCGACGCTAGAGTTACAGATGCTTGTGGATCTGTGTTTTCTGTATATAAACCGATTCAAAATATTCATAATAAATTTCTTTTGTAAGATTACGATTATATCATGAGCATACTTAATGACTCTTAGATACAAATGACACCAGATGTTCGCGATGAATATAGCATATTCTACAAAAGTTGTGGTAATGCTGTCTGTCTGTAATGCTTAAACAGTTATATTTATTTAGCAGCGACAGCTCTGCAGTGGGATATGGACAACTTTGAAATTTGGTACAGAGAGGCGAATTACCTGTTTGTTACACAAGCAGACTTGCAATGGAAATATTTTGAGCCTCTGTTGCGCTTTTGTGTGGATGGTCAACATTTTACCAATCTCATGGTAACTCTCAACAAATATCCACGCCATAGTGTGACAAGTAGGGAGTGTTATTTGGGTATTATACGTGTGTGTGTGTGTGTGTGTGTGTGTGTGTGTGTGTGTGTGTGTGTGTGTGTGTGTGTGTGTGTGTGTGTGTGTGTGTGTGTGTGTGTGTGTGTGTGTGTGTGAGAGAGAGAGAGATTGTAACATAATGTTGCAGTTGCGTTACATTCCTTCTGGGGCGGTGTTTTAGCCTAGTGGTAAAAGTGTTCGCTCGTCACGACGAACACCCGGGTTCGATTCCCCACGTGGGTACAATATATAAAGCCATTTCTGGTGTCCCCCGACGTGATATTGCTGGAATATTGCTACAAACGGCGTAAA